TTCAGCAGGCTGGAGGGATGGGCACCTCCAGGCATGAAGCCGCCCAGTGGTGAACGCGCACAAGGTGGCGCTGTGCAAGGCTCAGGTGCACAAGGTGAAGGTGCACAAGGTAATGCCTATCCTGGTTTGTTTGTTATGGTTGAGGATGTGCATGGGCATGAGGGTGATGTGGGATCTGTGGGAAAGGTTGTGATGCACCCTCTCACGCACTGGGTGATTGATTCGGGTTGCACCAGTCACATGACTCCACGGGCAGATTTGCTTGATGAGGTAAAACCCCCTGGGAAGATTAAGTATGTGGCAGCAGCGTCAGGTGCTTTGCTCCCCGTTATTGGTGTTGGGAATGCCAAGGTTAAGGGAGCTAATGGGGAGCTTGTGGGGCTTGGGAATGTTCTGCTGGTTGAAGGCTTGTCTGCTAACCTTCTCTCTGTGCAACGACTGCAGAAGAGCAAGGCCGAAGTGACCTTTGGACCAACCAGCTGCCGTGCTAAGCTGGGAAGAAGGTGCTGTGGAGTCTGGAAGAGGAGACCAGCTGCATCAAGGACCTGTGGCAGCTGCCCATCATCCCATGGAATGGGAAGACTCCAACAGCAGCAACGGCAGCAGTGGCAAAGGCAACAGCAGGAGGAGATGCAACTGCACCAACTGATGGGGTGCTGGAAGCAGTCAAGAAAGTGCAGAAGCAGCAGACACATGGTGAGGTGCTTGCTGGTGTGGATGCGAGTGCGGCATGGGCTAAGGCTTCATCAAGGAGTGGAGAGGCCGATTGGGAGACATGGCATGAGAGGCTGTGTCATGTGAACTTCCCTATGCTGCAGAAGTTGGTGAAGGATGGGAGCCTGAAGGGCTTGGAGGTGAAAGGGGGAGTGAAGGAGATTGGGAGCTGCCCTACATGCTTGGAGACCAAGTTCTCCAAGTTCCCCTTCAACAGCACTACAGGACCAGCCAAGACCCCACTTGCACTTGTGCACATGGATGTGGTGGGGCCCACAAGAGCCCCTTCCCTCTCAGGCAGCCGCTATTTCTTGACAATTGTGGATGACCACACTCGGGCAGTGTGGGTTTACCCTTTGAAGAGCAAGGGGGAGGTGGCAGCGGCTGTCCTTAAGGAGTGGATGCCTAGAGCTCAGAGGGAATGCGGATACAAGGTGAAGGTGATCCGCAGTGACAATGGTGGGGAGTTCATTGGAGCTGATTTTGAGGGGGAGTTGAAGAGGAAGGGGATCCAGCATCAACTGACAGTGCCCTACAACCCGCAGCAGAATGGCGTGGCTGAGAGGTTCAACAGGACCCTGCAGGAGGGGGCACGCACTCTCCTTGGGCGTGCAGGGCTGCCTGATCCATTTTGGGTGTCTGCACTGAGGCAGGTCGCCCTTGTGAAGAACAGGGTGCTGGCTACAGTTGGAGATAAGGAGTGGATCCCATATGTCAAGTGGTATGGGAGTGCTCCAACTGTGAACATGCTGAGGGCATTTGGGTGCATGGTGGTGTTTCATGTGCCTAAGGAGAAAAGGGGGAAGTTGGAGGCTTCTGGAAGATGGGGTGTGCACTTGGGGATTGCAAAGGATCACAAGGGGTGGCTGCTATGGGACTTGACCACCCAGAAGTTGACAGTGTCAAGGGATGTGAAGTTTCTTGAGTCCCTGTACTACAAGGAATGGAAGCAGCAGCAACAGAAGCTTCCATCTACACCGCTCATTGTGGAGGCAGATGAGGTGCAGCACCCTTCAAGACAGGTGGAGGTTGCAGTGTCAGAGGAGGAGATGTCTGGGGTGACTGAGGAAGGGGGAGCAGCTGAAGTAGAGCAGCAGCAGCAGCAGCATGAGTCTCCACCTCGAGTTCCACACCCGCCTGAGCGTCCTAGGAGGGATGTGCGCCCTCCAGTGAGGCTGACCTATGGGGGAAGAGGCAAGCCAAATGTGGTGCAGGCTGGGAGTGTGGTTGAGCAGATTGAGGAAGATGAGATCGCTCACTGCTACTGGGCACCAATCCCTGAGCCCAAGACTCGAGAAGAGGCCTTGAATGGACCAAATGGGGAGAAGTGGAAGGCGAGTGAGGATGAGGAGTTCGGGTCCCTAATTGAGAACGAGACATGGGACCTGTGTGACTTGCCTCCTGGAAAGAAGGCAATCACTTCCAAGATGATCTACAGGCACAAGTATGGACCTGAAGGGGAGCTGACCCGCTACAAGTCTAGGCTTGTGGCACGGGGGTTTCAGCAGACAAAGGGGAAGGACTATGATGAGGTGTTTGCTCCTGTGGGGAAAGGAACAACACTGAGGGTGCTGTTGGCGATAGCTGCACTCCTGGGATGGAAGATACGGCAGATGGACATTGTGACTGCCTTTCTGAATGGGATCATTCTGGAGGAGGTGTATATGAAGCAGCCAGAGGGGCTGGATGATGGGAGCGGCAGGGTCTGCAGGCTGAAGAAGGCCATCTATGGCCTTAAGCAGGCGCCTCGTGCATGGTATCACAAGTTGGAGGAGGCGCTGCTGGCTGGGGGTTTCAAGAAGAGTGAGTGTGACCCCAGCCTGTTCCTGCTGCAGGAGAAGGATGAAATCCTCATGCTCTTGGTGTACGTGGATGATATCCTTCTCTTTTCTGCATCAACTGCTTTGCTGGACAGCGCAGAGCAGATGCTAGAGATGCAGTTCAAGTGTTCCAAGATGGGTGAGGTGAAGTACTACTTGGGGATGCATGTGGAGAGAGATGTGGAGAAGGGTGTGCTGAGGTTGCACCAGAGGAAGTACTGTGAGGGGCTGGCTGAGAAGTATGGGCTGCAAGATGGGGGAAAGCCAGCAACACCACTACCTTCAGGGTTTACTGTGGAGCCATGTGCTGATGAGGAGGTAGTGGGTGAGAGTGACAGGAAGCTGTTTCATTCGATGGTTGGGTCGCTGAATTATGCTGCAAATCATACACGGCCTGACATTGCATTTTCTACATCACGGTTGGCTAGTGTGGTCTCACGCCCTAGTCATGAGCAGCTGGAAGCGGCCAAGAGGTTGGTCCGCTATGTGAGTGCTACGGCATCAGTGGGATTGGAGTACAGTGGAGTGAGGCAGCGGTTGCAGAGAGGTGCTGCAGATGTGAAGAGTGGTGAGATGCTCTTGAGTTGCTATACTGACGCTAGCTTCAACTCAGTGAAAGCGGATGGCACCAGCATTGGGGGTTATGTGTGCTTGCTAGGAGGTGGTGCTGTGAGCTGGCGCAGCAAGAAGCAGAATGAGGTGGGATTGTCCTCATGTGAGACTGAGTACATGGCCTTACACCATGGGGCCAAGGAAGTAGTGTGGCTAAGGCGTTTGTTGGAGGAGTTGGGAGTTGGTCAGGAGGAGCCGACAGTTGTGTTCTGTGACAATGAGTCTGCTGTGAAGCTCGCCAAGAATGCTTGTTTGCATGGGCTGACAAAACACATAAGGCCTAAGTGGCACTGGGTGAGGAGACTCCTTGATAAGGAGGTGCGGCTGGAGATAGTGAAGACCCATCAGCAGGCAGCAGATATTTTCACCAAGCGTCTGGCGGAGGCGGATCATTGGAAGGGCATGAAGCTTGCTGGGATGAGTGTGCATTGAGTATGCATGCTTGAGATGTTGGTATGGTGGTTGATGGTTGGCAGCCAGAGGGGGAGATTGTTGTGTGATGTCATCATATGTTATCACATTCTGTCTGCCTCCCATCCCTTGTTTCAATTCGCACGTATGGTTTGACTGTGTGTGAAAGAATTTGTGTGGTGTGTGTTCTGGAGTTTGGGAATGTGTTTTGTGTTATTCTGTCTGAGCAGGTATTTGTGATGATAGATCTTGAGAAGATCTTTCCGACGCAACAAGAATCGCGTCAATCGGAGCAAGAACGCGAAAGCTATGAAGATTCAAAGTTCATGAGCTTGCGTTACAATTGCGGCGGTTACAAAGTGAAGTTGTGGGGTGACTTTATATGGAGTTGGGACCTTTGGGGTTGGGGAAATTCGTCACTCTACTGTAACAGCTGCAAATTGGTTGGGAACAACCAAGCTAGGTTGGCAAGGGTGGCCAACTTGGATGGATTGGTTGGGAAGGGACAAATGTCAAAGTTGGGGTTCCTATAGGGAGGGAATCTTTGTGCTTATGGGGTTTCCTTGGTTGGGGACTCTCTTGGGACCTTCCCTCTCATCCCTCTCTTCTATCCCAACCTTTCTCTTGCTCCTCTAAATTCCTTGTGAGATTCTTGAACTTTGATTGAACTCTTGAGATTGAGTTAAGTTCTCCTCCTACAGCTTACCCCCTAGTGCGTCGAAAGCCATAGCGTCGCGAATACTTCATCAATCAACGTGATTCAAATTGGGAACGGTAGCTGAGATCAAGAGCTACAACATATCCAAGTTTCGCGACATTCCAACGGCTAGTGTTTTGTCGACGTCGTTTCTTGTAAAGACGACTTTTCTGTCCAGAATTTCGGATTTATATTTTGAGTAATTCTAGCTCCTAAGTTCACCTAGACTCTGTCCTTAATCCTAACAAGGTCCACGCTCAGCCCCGTTAGAAACGAGGCCTCGCTGTTCCTTCGTCGACCTGGTTCGCCTCCAGCCCAGGAGGCACGCCATCTACCCATCGCCCTCCAAGGAGGGCGCGGGGTAGCTGAACTGGCCAACCTGCAACGGTTTCCCGTTGCCCTTTCGACTCCTCGAATGATCGGTGCTCTGCATTGAATCTTAGCCAGAGCCGGCCCTGCCTTTCTCGCCACCTTTTTCGTTTTGGCCAGGGCATCTCCCCCCACCGTGCCATCTCCCTTCATTTTACCAGGTGATCCTCCGCACCTGGAGAGCTCCCCGCCCCCTCCGCTGGGGCCTGTGCGCACCAACCCTCCGAAGAGAGTCCATGCGCACGTCTCACGGGACGCTCCCCCCCGGATCACAGAGTGCCGCCCTCCGTGGCCCGGGCCGGTGCCTCATAGGACCTCATGACAAGCTCGACTTCATACCTAGGTAATCCGCCTTGCTTGTGGTTTGAGGGCCAGTTCTCCTCTCCCCGAATTATTACTACGGAAAGGCCTCGGATTACCTTGGCTTACCGACTTTTCAAGCAACCGTCCTACCCAAAGATTAGTGAGAAGAGGTGAAAAGCCACTTCCCCCTAACCTTCTTAGGCTAACCACCTGGATTACGTTGGCTTACCGTCGTTTGGCGCAACCGAGTGACCCTTGCAAAGGTTCGGGGAGAGGTGGAGCACCCCTTCCCCCGGATTCTCTTAGGCCAACCACCCGGATTACGCTGGCTTACCGTCGTTTGGAGCAATCGATTCCCAGATGCCAGGGGTTGGGGAGAGGTGGAGCACCCCTCCCGCCCAGTATTCTTAGGCCAATGACCTGGATTACGTTGGCTTACCGTCGTTTGGGGCAATCGATTTCCCCGTGGCAAGGGTTGGGGAGAGGTAGAGCACTCCTCCCCTCCGTTGTTCTTAGGCCAGTGACCCGGATTACGTTGGCTTACCGTCGTTTGGGGCAATCTATGCCCACATGCCAAGGGTTGGGGAAAGATAGAGCACCCCTCCCCTCCGGTATTCTTAGGCCAATGACCCGGATTACGTTGGGTTACCGTCATTTGAGGCAACCGTATGACCCATGCCAGGGGTCGGGGAGAGGTAGAGCACCCCTCCCCTGCAGTATTCTTAGGAAAACCACCTCGATTACGTTGGCTTACCGTCGTTTGGGGCAATCGGTTCCACCATGCCAGGGGTTGGGGAGAGGTAAGGAGCCCCTCCCCTCCGGCATTCTTAGGCCAATGACCTGGATTACGTTGGCTTACCGTCGTTTGGGGCAACCGGATGCCCCGAGCCAAGGGTTGGGGAGAGGTGGAGCACCCCTCCCCTCCTGTATTCTTAGGCCAATGACCCCGATTACGTTGGGTTACCATCGTTTGGGGCAATCGGATGGCCCATGCCAAGGGTTGGGGAGAGGTGGAGCACCCCTCCCCCCCCCCGTATTCTTAGGCCAATGACCTGGATTACGTTGGGTTACCGTCGTTTGGGGCAATCGGATGGCCCGTGCCAAGGGTTGGGGAGAGGTGGAGCACCCCTCCCCCCCCCGTATTCTTAGGCCAATGACCTGGATTACGTTGGGTTACCGTCGTTTGGGGCAATCCGATGGCCCGTGCCAAGGGTTGGGGAGAGGTGGAGCACCCCTCCCCCCCCCCGTATTCTTAGGCCAATGACCTGGATTACGTTGGGTTACCGTCGTTTGGGGCAATCGGATGGCCCATGCCAAGGGTTGGGGAGAGGTGGAGCACCCCTCCCCCCCCCGTATTCTTAGGCCAATGACCTGGATTACGTTGGGTTACCGTCGTTTGGGGCAATCCGATGGCCCGTGCCAAGGGTTGGGGAGAGGTAGAGCACCCCTTCCCCCCCGTATTCTTAGGCCAATGACCTGGATTACGTTGGGTTACCGTCGTTTGGGGCAATCCGATGGCCCGTGCCAAGGGTTGGGGAGAGGTAGAGCACCCCTTCCCTCCTGTATTCCTAGGCCAATGACCTGGATTACGTTGGGTTACCGTCGTTTGGGGCAATCAAGTCCCCGGAACCCAAGTGATGGAATCCATCCGGATCGGACCCCGGATGGGTTTGATCGAACCCATTCGGATGGAACCCATCCGGATCTGGATCGATCGAACCCATTCGGATCCGAGTCGATCGAACCCATCCTTATCGAGCCGATCCGGATCCGGATCGATCGAACCCGTGTGGATCAAACCCATCCGGATCTGGATCAATTGAACCCATCCGGATCCGGATCGATCGAACCCATCCGGATCCGAGTCGATCGAACCCATTCGGATAGAACCCATCCCTATCGAGCCCATCCGGATCCGAGTCGATCGAACCCATTCGGATCGAACCCACCCGGGTCCGGATCGATCGAATCCGTCCGGATCCGGATCAAATGAACCCTTTCGGACCCAAGCCCATCCGGATCCGGATCGATCGAACCCATCCGGATCCGAGCCGATCGAACCCATCCGGATCCGAGTCGATCGAACCCATCCGGATCCGGATCGATCGAACCCATCCGGATCCGGTTCGATCGAACCCATTCGGATGGAATCGATCCGGATCCGAGTCGATCGAACCAATCCGGATCCGAGTCGATCGAACCCATTCGGATCGAACCCATCCGGATCCGAGTCGATCGAACCCATTCGGATCGAACCCATCCTTATCGAACCCATCCGGATCCGGATCGAACCCATCCGGATCCGGTTCGATCGAACCGATTCGGATGGAATCGATCCGGATCCGAGTCGGTCGAACCCATTTGGATCGAACCCACCCGGGTGCGGATCGATCGAACCCATCCGGATCCGGTTCGATCGAACCCATTCGGATGGAATCGATCCGGATCCGAGTCGATCGAACCAATCCGGATCCGAGTCGATCGAACCCATTCGTATCGAACCCATCCGGATCCGAGTCGATCGAACCCATCCTTATCGAACCCATCCGGATCCGGATCGATCGAACCCATCCGGATCCGGTTCGATCGAACCCATCCGGATCCGGTTCGATCGAACCGATTCGGATGGAATCGATCCGGATCCGAGTCGATCGAACCCATTTGGATCGAACCCATCCGGATCCGGATTCACCGGCCCCATTCGTATCGAACCCATTCGGGTCCGGATCGATCGAACCATCAAGGTCAAAGCCTAGGCAGGGTATTCCTATGCCAATGGCCTGCATTGCGTTGGGTTACGATTGTTTGGGGCAATCAAGAACCGAAACCCAAGTGATGGGGAGTGGTAGAATGCCCCATCCCTAGAGTATTCCTAGGCCTATGACCTGGATTACGTTGGGTTACCGTCGTTTGGGGCAATCCGAAAACACATGGCCGAATGATGGGGAGAGGAAAAATACCACTTCCCTAGGGTATTCCTAGGCCTATGACCTGGATTACGTTGGGTTACCGTCGTTTGGGGCAATCCGAAAACACATGGCCGAATGATGGGGAGAGGAAAAATACCACTTCCCTAGGGTATTCCTAGGCCTATGACCTGGATTACGTTGGGTTACCGTCGTTTGGGGCAATCCGAAAAAATATGGCCGAATGATGGGGAGAGGAAAAATGCCACTTCCCTAGGGTATTCCTAGGCCTATGACCTGGATTACGTTGGGTTACCGTCGTTTGGGGCAATCCGAAAACACATGGCCGAATGATGGGGAGAGGAAAAATACCACTTCCCTAGGGTATTCCTAGGCCTATGGCCTGGATTACGTTGGGTTACCGTCGTTTGGGGCAATCCGAAAACATATGGCCAAATGATGGGGAGAGGAAAAATACCACTTCCCTAGGGTATTCCTAGGCCTATGACCTGGATTATGTTGGGTTACCGTCGTTTGGGGCAATCCGAAAACACATGGCCGAATGATGGGGAGAGGAAAAATACCCCTTTGCTGGGGTATTAATAGGCCTATGGCATGGATTACGTTGGGTTGCCATCGTTTGGGGCAACCTGTTTATGCGTTCATGGGATGCCAAGATTGACCCTAGGGACCCCCCAGCCGGGTCATTTGATCCCAAGGGCGGATTTGAACCGGCCCATGGGTTCATCCAATTCAAGAGCCCATCCCCGCTCGGCCATTCTGACCCCCCCAGCCGGTTCATTTGACCCCAAGGGCGGATTTGAACCGGCCCATGGGCTCATCCAACCCTTGGGCCCATCCCCCCTCGGTTTTTTTACCCCCCACCCGGTCCATTGGACACCTAGGGCGGATCTGAACCGGCCCATGGGCTCATCCAACCCAAGATCCCATCCCCCCTCGGTTATTTGACCCCCCAGCCGGTCCATTGGACCCCAGGGGCGGATTTGAACCGGCCCATGGGTTCATCCAACCCAGGAGGATCCCATCCCCCCTCGGTTATTTGACCCCCCACCCGGTTCATTCGACCCCAAGGGCGGATTTGAACCGGCCCATGGGTTCATCCAATTCAAGAGCCCATCCCCCCTCGGTTTCTTTTACCCCCCAGCCGGTTCATTTGACCCCAAGGGCGGATTAGAACCGGCCCATGGGTTCATCCATCCCTTGGGACCACCCCCCCTCGGTTTTTTTTTTACCCCCCGCCCGGTCCATTGGACCCCAGGGGCGGGTTTGAACCGGCCCATGGGTTCATCCAACCCAGGATCCCATCCCCCCTCGGTTATTTGACCCCCCCGCCGGTTCATTTGACCCCAAGGGCGGATTTGAACCGGCCCATGGTTTCATCCGACCCAAGAGCCCATTCCCCCTCCGTAATTCGACCCCCCAGCCGGTTCATTCGACCCCAAGGGCGGATTTGAACCGGCCCATGGGTTCATCCAATTCAAGAGCCCATCCCCGCTCGGCCATTCTGACCCCCCCAGCCGGTTCATTTGACCCCAAGGGCGGATTTGAACCGGCCCATGGGCTCATCCAACCCTTGGGCCCATCCCCCCTCGGTTTTTTTACCCCCCACCCGGTCCATTGGACCCCTAGGGCGGATTTGAACCGGCCCATGGGCTCATCCAACCCAAGATCCCATCCCCCCTCGGTTATTTGACCCCCCAGCCGGTCCATTGGACCCCAGGGGCGGATTTGAACCGGCCCATGGGTTCATCCAACCCAGGAGGATCCCATCCCCCCTCGGTTATTTGACCCCCCACCCGGTTCATTCGACCCCAAGGGCGGATTTGAACCGGCCCATGGGTTCATCCAAATCAAGAGCCCATCCCCCCTCGGTTTCTTTTACCCCCCAGCCGGTTCATTTGACCCCAAGGGCGGATTTGAACCGGCCCATGGGTTCATCCAACCCAGGATCCCATCCCCCTCGGTTATTCGACCCCCCAGCCGGTTCATTCGACCCCAAGGGCGGATTTGAACCGGCCCATGGTTTCATCCGACCCTTGGGCCCATCCCCCCTTGGTTTCTTTGCCCCTAGGGCGGATCGGAACCGGCCCATGGGTTCATCCAACCCTAGTGCCCACAGGCTTCCCGTGTAATCGAATTCCAACCGG